TCATTATTATAAAAGTAGCGCGCACTTGGAAGATGTTAATAACTTATATGTAGGTCCTTCAAAAATTTTTGAATAAAATAAAAAACTGCTATAGAATTTTATTACATTTGCGCTAAATAACGTTAAGATTTTCTGTTATAATTAATTTCATTTCGTATTTATGTCCTTATCGTTCGTAAAATAACTATTTTTGTTTATATGACATCTGGACTTGTCAACAAAAATTTGTTATAAATTTTATATTTTTGTGTACAAACATAATATAAATAAACAGTCGCTAGTATCAAACACACTTTGGGTCGATAAGGAAAAGTTTAAAGTTCATCATACTTAACTATTGGGCATAGTTTCTTACTTGTATATGTATAGGTGTCATTTTCAAAAAAAAAACACTTATTAATTTCTTTAAAACTGCTTATCTTAATTAAAAAGTGTAACAGACAAATTTTATTTACAAAAAAGACCACTTCGGATTCAAACCAAAAAAAAAAATATAAAAATCAAACTACAACAGTGGGCAATGTTCAAGTACTGTAACTCAAAGCGCACGAGTTATCTACATAGGACAAAGTGGAAGTAAATTTAAACAGAAACGTAATGAACACATAAAATTTATCATGACTGAAGAATACAGATTTATTTGCAACTTTGCATTCCACATCAAAAATGTATAAATAATAATCACAATAATAAAAACTGTACTCTCAACATTATAGAAGACCTAAGAAGACAAATTTTAGTATAAAAATATATTTTAAATGTCATGTGTACATTTGTTCTTCGCAACAACTTTATAAGTTACATTCAAATTTTGATACTTAAATTGATAATTTCTTTAATATGCATAAGTAAAACATTGTAATACCTATTACTGCACTTGATAAGAATCAAAAATTATTTTTTCTTTCTATTACTTAAATTTTTTCGGATTTATAATTTCTTCAAGCAATCATATCACTTCGTCTAGAACGTTGGATGATGGGTAGTTTCTTCAGTAAATTACTGGCAATTTTACCAGGTTTCTTGTTATCCATTGTGGAAAATTCTCTCCTTTCCATTCCTACATCAACTTGTTGTGGTCTGCCGCTGGATTTCGCCGATCCTATTCTCTCGATAAACCTTTTAATTTTGATATCGTTCAACTTATCACCTTGTGTTGCATGTTTTTTATGTCCATCAGGATAGTCGCGTCTTCGTCCTGTCTTCATGGAGCTGCACAATGGCGTCATGGGGATTTGCTCAAAAGAATATATCTGATTTTGGGCAGAGTTTCGATTAGTTATCGCGGTGGTAATCCTGCGTTTAAGTTGTCCCATGTATTCCAACGGTACGTCCATCTCCCTGTCTCCTCTTTTAACTGCCGCTGTTTTACTTCTTCTTAGTCTGTTGTCAATATCGACTGGGGAAGCTGAGGGGTTCGTTGCGAATTCGTCATCACCTTTCCTTCTCGTTTTCTGCTTCGTTTGGACCTTGTATAACAGATTCGAAAGACGCCTCAATTCTTCTTCTTTTTGGTTCAATAACATTTTTTTCCTTTCAATGCTCTGCTTCTGGGCGAAGACCTTGTTTTGAGTGGACATTTGGTTCACTTCGTCGCAAACGCTTCTCCTTTTAGCCGTGTCTTTTTTTGCGTCTCGGAGGCCTTTATCGCGCTCGTTCATCCACTTTATACTGTAGATGCCATATTTGTGAAAGGGTATTTTGTCACCGTCTCCAAAATGACGATTTCTAAACAAATTCGTACCAAATACAATTTTAATACCCAAGTAAAGAAAATTTGTATCAAGGGTTTTCACAGAAATTTTTTTGATTGAAAAAACTCGAATAAGATTTAAAACTGTAACGAAATTTAGTTTTTAAGATAAAAAATGACGATTTCTAAACAAATTCGTACCAAATACAATTTCAAAAGTACAAAAATCTAATAACATATAAATGAGATAGAGCTTTTAAAATTGTTCCTTTACCTGTAGTGACTACCCTGTTTCCAAAGCCATTTTTCAATTTTTTCGAGCCAATCTTGTTGGGGCCCTATAACGGACCCAGGACGACAAATGCGCATCCAGGAAATTGCTTCTCTAGCCGTTAGATGATAGTGTTTAATGATATAGGCTCCTATCAGAGATCCGGTCCTGCCCAATCCGGCCTAATTGAAACGAAGAAAGTTCTCGTTTTGTAAAAATAACAAAAAAATCGTTCGATTTTACCTTACAATGCACTGCTATAGAAGCGGGTGCATGTTCGGCAATGTCCAAAAATTTCAACAAAATATGCTTTGGGGGAATGGTACCGTCAGGGAAAAACAAGTCGTAGTGCTCAATACCAGCTTTAGTAAAACTAAAACGGTCTTAAACTTAATTATTATCATTATTAAAATCTCTTGTAATAACCATCAAGGAAGGAAATAATTTCAATTTCAGGAAGAAGAAACACATATTCTAATAAATTTTTCCGTCTTCCTTGTATTTGGACTTTAGTTTATCAAATATATTTAAAATTAAAACTTACGCTGACTCGTTATAAACCCTGTTATTTAACCGAATAACCGTTCTTACATCATTAGTAATGAAATAATTTATGTAAAAGCTAGGATTGTGGCCGTTGAAACAGTCTGCTGTACTTTCGATTTCCGTTGGTCCTATAAACGCCAAAAATTTTAGAGGTACCAGCCAATTCATATCACCATTCACAAGTTTATCGTGATTGTCATACTCCGCAACACTAAAGTCGTCAAAATTAAAAAAATTCAACGAAGAGCACTTCTTAATCGCTCTAAAGCAGTCCATTATCGAAATGGTATACGGAGATGGACCCTGTGAAGCATCCACGAAAGGCCTAAAATTTTCAAATCAAATTTGCCGGCAATGTTTCTTTTTTTACGTTATTTTTAAAAAATACTACGATTATAACATCAAAATCGTTTGGGATGCCGTGGTACAAACATTAAATAGTCATTAACTATAAAAAAAATTGAGTTGTTTGTAATATTTACAAAACGTTTACTTGAAAGTTCCTCCAGCGCTATAGAGCCTTTGATAAACTTCTTTAGGGTCCATATTTAGATAAAGTATCGCATAACTGCCAATCAAAAAGCTTGCATTCGTTTTTTTGTTGGGATCTTTCGACGAATAATGTACAAATCGCTGGATTCCTTGGATCGGGTTCTTTAGTAACTGATTAAGTTTGTAGCAATATTTGAAAAGACATGAAATATTTAAAGGGCCAAAGTCGTGATAAAAATTCAAATAAACGTATTCGCTATCAGTACAAAAATAAAATGTTTCCAATGAGCTCTGGAGTTCAATACTTTCGCTTTTTTCGAGTACTGCAAAGTACAAACGATTTTTAAGTATCTCCGTTATATATTCTATGTCTCCATGATAATAGAAACCATCCATGTTACTACGGTCGTGATAATTAATATATTTATCTCGATCTACTTAAGGAAATAGGTAACAAGGTTTATCTCCCCTGTCACAAAGGGCTAAATAAATCAAAATGTGCAACGTATAATTTATGGCTAGCGATATTAAGAAGTATACACTCTTATGCAGAACTTTATGCATCTTATCAATTTTGAAAACACCAAAAAATGATTGACCTCATTTTGTTTGAACTGAAAAGTCAACTTCAAAATTTCAAAGCTAACTGAAAATTCTTTACTCAATACAACTAAAACCCCAGATTAAATTTTAATAGTAAATAAAATAATATTAACTAAAAAAAAGGTATTGCATCGGTCGGGAATCGAATCAGGGTCGCCAATGTGGCAAGCGAGCAATAATTTTCATCTTTCTCAACAAACAGACACAAGCACCTTTAATTTGAGACAACTCACGACCATATGTACCTACCTAATATTCACGAAAAGCTCGAACTTTTTCACGCAAAAATGAATCTATCCTCACGCATGCACGCGTGAGCCGTGCCACCAATCATCACGCACTCTTTTTTTAATAAATGTACAATACCAAGACCTTTAATTTGATACATGATACATATACATCACTTCCAAATTGCTTTTAAAATACCTATTATAATAGATAACAATATGCCCCTTTAAATTTCAATGATACATATCAAATAAAAAATATCTGATCTTTAAACAAGCAAAGAAAATAATAATTAAACAAAGAAATAATTAATAAATTTCCTATAAAGAAAATAGAAATAAATATTATACAACACCCATGATAAAACGAAGTTAAAAGTTTTTTTTATTACAAAAGTTACATCAATAAGAACAATAAATTTCATAAATACATAAATCTACTCAGTTATAAAATCATAACTTTTATAATTTATTTAACCTAAAGTCAATAAATGACCGATTTCTTATCATTAAAATTAAGAAACCACAATTATTATATTTGCAAGATGAATTATATTTGTCTAAAATAAGCATAAATATAGGCTTTCGTAGTGGAATATTATTAATATAGCAATTAACAATTAAAATTCAAGACCTTCGTACGAAACGCTTTCAGAACTGTTTATCGAAAGCTTCAGATGTTCCAATGTGTTATTAAAATGTTTCGTTATTTGTTCCGCTTCATCTGAGCTCTCCAAGTTCGGAAGTTCTTCTTTAATCTTGGCAATAACTTGATTTAAAACTTGTACAGTAATTTGATCGTTACCTTTTTCGTAGAAATAAATGTAATGATTCAAGAGCTCGACAAATAATTGTACTTGAACACCAATATCCATGCATTGTTTAGCAATTCTAAGACCCTTCTTTAGACAGTCGACTACTTTTTTACCATCGTGAACTTCTTCCTTGTTCGTTGCCAAACTCTTTCCACTCCAGAACAAATGAGAACAGGTTGCAACTCCTCTACACTGATCCGGTTTCTTTAACAATTTGCTAGCAGCAAGGGCACATTGCGTCCGAAGGGGCTCAGAATTTTCTTCGGAAAAACAGCTAATTTGTTCCAATGTACCCACTATCAGCGTAATAGCAGCTAGTTGAGCTTTCGAATCAGAAATTTCGTCTTCATACAATGAAAAAGCTTGAGAAAGAAATTCATAGGCGACCGTCTCGTGGTTGTCGAAGCCGATCTGATCAATTGCCAAAGCTCCCTGAAGAAAAAGACGAAGAGGAAGCTCTGCCAATTCGGCCTTTACAAGGGCAGTAATTGTGGCATGACAAAACTGAAAAATTTTCTGACATTTCTTCTCCCAAACTTCGTCTTCTGACTTGATCTCTTTGTACTTATAAGCCAATTGATATGCTTGGAAAATCAAAGGTGGTAATGTATGCTTTACACGAAGTGCACCACCGGTAGCTAAAGCCTATTGCAACAGGAAATTAAAAAAATAGCATCAATTCAATTTATACATATCTTGTAACAGAAAGTAATTACCTTTCTTGCACTTGTAAGAATTAAATACTGTTGATCTGGAATGTCCGACATAAACTGGTGAACGAGACGTGCAAGAAGGCTTTGCTCTTCTGCCAATTCCTCTAGATCCACTTCAATCTTTGGCTGGTCACTCTGATCAGAAATGACAGTCGTTAACAAAGTCAGAGCTTGTTCCACTTGCTCCTGCGTTGGTATAACCGTTTCGTGCTCCAGAGCATTACTCAAGATGTATATGCTTAGATATTTCCTGCCATAGAAATCCAAGTGTTGCAGCAACGCTGGATAATGTTTCAGTTTTAGTAAGGTCAACAAATTATTATAATTGTCGACGGGTAGTTTTAGAAGTTTCTGTAATTCTTTTCCCACTGACGAATTAGACTCGACCTTTTCAAGGCCCAAACGTTGGAAAACCTGAAAATTAACAGTACACGTTTATGAATCAATCTGTAGTAATATATTCAATCAGTGATTACCTCAACACTGTTAAGCATGACTTTATCGACGTAGTCGACCCTTTTAGGGTAACATTTATGGGCCAAATTTACTAGAGCTACTTGAAGTGATATCATATCTTCTGAGGGAAGATCCTGCCTATTTGCTATGATGGAAGCCACTTGGTCTGAGAATATTTCAAACAACTGAACATTTGAAGGAATCCCTGGAGGGTAATCTACAAAAAAATAAATAAAATTAAATGAACAAAACAATCCCAAATTTATACTCGACAGATATCTTTACCACTATCTCCTATATTATTTGGTGGAGCTCCTTCACAACGTTGACTGAATGTAGCCAATCTCTCCATAAGACTGATGACGATATTTTTGACTTTTACCCCTGGTTCCAACTCGGCACATGATTTAAGAAAAGGATTAAGGGTTTGTAAATGGAATTCATCAGGGAAAACTTGTATTATACACTCCATCAAATATTCCTGCGCGATGGAGTCTTTACAACTAACCACCTACGAAAATAAATGTTATATAAACACTAAACAACTTCTTGAATAAAAGGGCGTCCACCATTTCTACAGCTATTTCATTGTCTTTTACTTTCTTCGCACTTTCGGAAACAAAAACAGTTTCATGTGCAACAGTATTTCCATACTGCGTACAACGATTGCATACATTTCCCGTTTTTGCAAAAATAATTAATTAAAATTTATATTAAAAAGAAGAAACTATCTTTAGCGAAATACCCGAACTCGTAGAGACTAATAAATTGAAAACACAAAAGTGTATGCTGTTTTACTGATAAGTAAAACAATATTATTATATACTTTTATGAAACAATAGAAACGGCAATTACTTTTTAATCCACCATGGTATGTTCACGGTAAATTACGTTCAATAAAACTTTATAATTCTTTTAAAAGTGGAAACAACACAACAAATTTTTACTCTACAATAAGAGAGATGCTATTCCCTTTTTTTGAAAATTAAAAAGTATCAATAATATAAAATACAATAACAATAGGCTTTTAATTTGTTGTTAATATAATTTTTGCAAAGAAAATTTTCTTATATATGCCCTCAACAGATGAATAATATTTGATATTTTAACTTTTAGAAAGGCAAATTTGGTCAAAAAAGGGAAGAAATGCATAATTGATACAAGACAATTTTTTTGAAAAAGAGAGTTGCATCCTTGCAATAACTATTAATAATTTTTCTTAATAATACCTGTTCTAAAATTCCTGGTAACACAATTTTTTGATACTTTTCCAAATTAACTGACTCAAGCTGACTCAGTCTGACCAAATTTGTACCAACTAATATTCTTAATTCTTCACGTTCTTTCTCTCTGTGTTGTCTTTCTCTGGAGTGTCCCTGGTGTTGCATTCGAACCCAAAGTTTGTTCATTTCTGCAAAATTCATCAAAACAAAATCTATAGAGTCTCGAACATTTCCTTCAGCTAAGTTGGATTCTTCCTCAGGTACATCTGGAAGTACATTTCTTGTACACTGAAGCAGATAGTTCCTTAAAAATAGTCCTCGCAAGGGATGTTGTACCCCTACAAATGAATTGTTTAATGTAATACTGTACTGACGAAATTTCGTATGTTACCTCTGCACATTTCCACCAAATCCTTTAAAATATCACGTTTCAGTTGTGGATTTGACTTTATATAAACTATTCCAACAGTTATAAGAAGATACAATCGAGGAACAATATTACCAGCATATTGTACCAACTCATACAAATCAGTGACTTTCCGGCCTTTTTGAAACTCATCCAAAAGATATAACTCCATGTGCCGCAATTCATCTGTGATTGCCATATCTACAAGTTCCAATGTTGTAAATATAATTCAACGAAAATACATATAAAACATAAAAAATAATATACTGACAAAGTTCATAGTAGCTTTTAGGAGACAACAGAGAAGTTCTTAGTTCTGTTAACATAGCACTAGCATGTTTCAGAGCATCCATAAGCTTCATTTTATCTAAACATCTTTTCATTTGGAAAGCTTGAACTTTAACTACACCAAGTGCTTCATCTAGTAATTTCTCTTGTTCTTCAACGGGTGAAATTTGTTGAGTAGAAGGCTAAAAGATAAATATTATTAAATGAATGAAAAATTACTGTAAATATAAAGATTCTCTATTTCCAAAATATGTATAATGTAAGGGGTTAAAAGTTGTGTTTACCATTCTGAATCAATGCACCAACTTAGAGTAAATTTTTCTAATATTAATAGCGCCTATTTTTGAATCGTTCCTAGTATTTACCACCTAGTTTTTAAAAAATTATGTATTATTATCTATCTGTATTTTTTAGTTTTAACCTAAAATTGTTAATCACCATAGACAAGGTTAATTACCATAGATATATAAGTTAATTTACCTTTTGGTGTTTACAATGCAGGTATAATATAATAATGGCTAGGGTAACGATGGTCGATAAATAAATAATCGTATTATTTAAATTAAGCTTGTATAACCGTACAAAAGATACTACTTTTAATTATGTTAAATTATTATGGTGCATTTAAAAACTACAAGCAACCAGGAAATTCAAAATATTATATTTCTCTAACGGGAATCCCCTACTTTCTTATGGTAGATTGAGTGGTATCAAATAAAAGGTATATTCCCAAAGCATCAAAAAACATCATCGTGGTACTATCCACATGGCTAATAGTGTAAGGATATTTTCAACCAAACCATCAAGTAAACTCAAAATGCCTTTTAAACGAAATCGCAAACTAATGCATACACGACATTTTACCAACTTTAACAAACTGTTTAACATTTAACATTTGTATACAATATTGTATTTTTCAAATAAACTGTATAGAAAACGTTACTCATTTTAAACTGCAAACCTTTTAATTACAGAAAAACAAAAAGATACATTTAGAGAGTTTATTGTTAGCAATAAATTTTTCGTTATTATATACGCTTTTAGTTAACATTTTAAAGCTGCTAGTATAAACAACAACAACAGAACAATCTGTTCTTGTACATTACTCACACAACGAATTATCGAAAGTAAACGTACATACAAAAGATAGAAAAAGGAAAAACATTGGTCCACAATAAATATATAATTAATAGTTAGCAACGTGTCGAATAGCGCAAAATCAATAACTTAAAGGCATCAATCATCACTGAAAACGCTCGTTCGATTGATAGATAATTTCTTTAAACACATTTTCGTTTACTTGTCGCGTTGCGTCACATATTGCGACTTAACGACATACGTATGTTCATAAGACATTTTTATAAGATCTACACGATAGTTCCCTTATCATCATTATCATCAAAGGTTAATCATTGACTAGATCAATAGAAAAAAGTTATTCCATAAATTGCACTGAAAATAAACGTTTAAAAGAACATCGACGACATCTTTTTTTTTAAGTCACAAAAAATAAGCACCAAAGCAATCGACATCGGCAATTGGTTATCGTTGGCCTGTTGTGCGTTAAATAATTAATTAAAAAAAAAAACAATGTGAATGGTAAAAAAGAGAGATTAAACTCTACTGTTATGAATGAAAAGGCCTAAAATGACTCGGTCGCCCTCATTTTCTTTGCCGAGTCATGATGTTGCAATATTAGGCTGCCAACCAGGGCAACCAGAGCCCTGTCGAGCCAGGTAACTGGATTCGGATAAATTAGACCGCCTTCGTAAAAACCCAGGTGACCTCCATGTGCAAGTTCCATAAAGAGGAAATTCTTTTTATCTTCTGTAATTATGAACAAGGAAACAACATTAAAAAATAATTTTGAAAAAAATTTTAAAAATGAATGATCTTTTAGTCTATTAGCCTATTTGGAGATAAGAATCTAAAGACTACTACTAACTACATAAAGTACTTTAAACACTTACTAGCAATAGATTTGATCGGTTCGCAGAGACATTCATGAACGATTGGATCGTCTTTTGAATTTATAAATATCATGGGGACTTCTATATTTTGCACATAATAGAGACTGGAACTCCAGCTGTACAATTCGCTAACTGTCTTAAAATTATGAACCCGTTTCGTGTAAGCATCATCCAATTCGGGGAGAGTGGCTGCAGCCAAAATGTCCGTCTCGTTCAGCTTCAAACGACGTTTCACGTCCTCCGATAATAGAACGTGTCTATGTCTCAAAATTATATTCTTCATGTTCTCGGTCATTATGTACAGGTAGAAACGTCTAAAGTTTTGCCAGTTAAGGAGCAGCTTCGTACCCCTGAAATTTTATAAATCTTTTTTTAAAACTACTAACCTTATGAGCCCCTCTTTGAATTTTAATTATTCACCCCCACTTACGCTTCTAGGCTAAATAAACTAGTTGTACTTTTTTTGGTTCAAAAAAAGTATTAACTACACACTAACTATCAAAAAATAATATAAGACGCATTTTGTAAATGTTAGAAGGATACAAAACATAACACATACTTACGTATATTCTGAAAAACAACATTGTTAATAAAGCATTAAATGATCGAGGATCAATTGAGAAATGATAAAACTCCTCACCGTTTGGGATAGATTAATGTAATGTACACATTTAAAGGAAATGTAAAATTTTTCGTTTCCAAATACCACAAGCTATCTGAAATTTTGGGGGGGTGAATAGCATATCTTACAGAATTTACCTTTTTGCAGGCGTTGGGGTGCCGTGAAACAAACTTATACTAATTTTGCACGGAATGGAGGCGCCTATGTCAGCTGCCTGATTAAGGACTTTAATAAATCGAATGCCACCTATTACCTTTAATTTAAACAAAAACAACTTCGATATTATCTTCTACTACTGATAAACCCATTAAAGTTACATTTAAGCAAAGGAAATAGTCAAAAATGTATTTAGATCATTGACGACATATAACTTGATGATGAACATTGGTTTTCTTATTTCTTTCTTTTGAGTTGATATCATTCAAAAATTTGAATAGGTAATGAACCAAAATGTTTTACATATCAACTGAACTTCTTCCTTAGACGCACTTTACAAACATACATATATCAAATAACTAATTGATGTAATTGAAAAAGATGCACTCACTTCAAAGCGTCGTAACCCTGGCATACTGAAATTCCACCAACGACATGGGGAGGTCTGTTACGGTCAGGTTCGCCAAGGTATTTAGTGACCAAATTACCACCCAAACTGAATCCAACGCATACTATTTTAGTGTTCGGATGCCTTTCGGATATTTGATGAACCATCTCATTAAAATCATGTGTATGGCCTAAAATAATTCAGTTATTCATCATTTTTACTGATTTTACACTTGATAGTATGAACCGAAAAAAAAAAGTAACAGCTGTCCACATTTGTTCACGTTAACGAATGTTACATTTATTGTGTAATAAACATCTACAATTAACAGAATAAACATACATTCGAATGAAAATCACAAATACACATCCATTAAAAGACAGAAACAAATACATAAAACGCTAATGAAATACCATTTTTTTGCCACAAACATCAGAACTTCTTGTTTGTTTCTGGTTAAATAAAGAATTAGAAAAAAAAACTGTTAGAGTTTGCAGAATCCAAACAACATAACTACTACAACAACGAATTACACACCTATCTAATTGTAAAGTGAATATACAAATAAAACTACATCTCTCCAACTAATAAAACTGGAGAAGTATCAAATATATAGCGGATTTAATGTCACTAGACATTCGTTTCTACAAGCGAATGTTTAGTTTGTTCACGGTATACAGTGAATTATAATTAATATGCTGTTCACATTATGCGGGGTTTCCGTTATGCGATGTTCACACTATCGAGTGTCTTTGTGTGTATTTAATTTCTTAACTCAATAAATTCATAATATACAAACCATAACTGAAAATTCTTGGTGAAGTAACTGGAACACTTTGAAGTGCTCCAACATGGTTCAGTACCGAACATCTATAGCCATGGCACTGGGCCCAGTGGACGAATGTCCGAATGTAGACACTCTCTGATGTATTGCCGATACCGGGGCAAATGGCAATAGTCACATCATCTAAAAAAATTCATAATTAAAAATATTACTTTTCGCTCAATTTTATGCTAACATTTTAAGCCAAATACATTTTTTTTTTTTAATTCTAGTATCCTTAGAAATTGAAGATAATTTTCTTACTCTAAATAAATACATATCATTCTCGGTAAGTTTACATTAAAATTCCAAAATAAAATTGTAATCTAATCCAATTTATGACGAGCATGAATAATAACAAAATTACATTTTAAAAATGTGCTATTGGTTGCCAAATAATGCACTACACGTTATTAATAATGCCTATAATAATATTGGTTTGTATGTATTCAAAAGACAATTGGCAAAAAAATACATCGTAATATACATTGACGTCAGAAAATTACTGTAGCTTCTTTTACATGGACATATTTAAAGCAACAGCAATAATTACAAAATGAAACAAGAACATTAAAAGTATTATTTAGATTTATAATAAAAACACATTTTTTTAATTAGTTTTACATTTACCAAGGCATGTGTAACTGAAGTGTACTATTATCTTTCAATTAAGGTACATAAATGACATTACGTAATAGTTACAGATAATTATCTTCATATCTCCATACTATAGGTGTTATTTTATTATCTTACAATTTAAGGAATTGCAAATTACACAATATTTCATGTCAGTTGATTATTTATTTTCGAAGTGGGTACATCTGTACTTCCTAATAAAGCACATAAAAAATATATATATATTTATTCTCAGAATATACAGGGTGCCTCATTGCAGCCTAAAATTCTTTTCAAAAATACTTTTATACAGTAAGACGACAAACCCATCTGGCTGTGGTGGGACCTCTTGTATATGCACAGTGTGATCATTGGAAAATTTAAAAATACTTTTGATTTATGAAATATTGGGAAAATTACCTTCAAAACTGTTTTCTAAGGGCTGGTACATGTCGAATGTAAGTGTGGTACCATCCCGAAGGGTGAGATACACCCTTTCGCCCAACGGCCATGGACATCTCACCCGACCAATAATACTGTGGATTATTGTTTGTACGTGACCACTAAAACCCCACAATCGCGTTGGAATGTACCTTAAAAAAAATAAATCATAATAATTATTCACACAGGTATCTGAAATTTTGTTTCTGTCCACCCGGTATATCAAAAATCTATTCATTAATCCCTTAGATAGGTAAGTAAGTGTTATTTTTCTTTTTAACGGTAAGTCGTAAAAGAGCCACTGTATTCATTATTGATCGAAGGTATTCTTTAATTTTTTATGATAGAATAAATTGGTCATTTTAGGTACAATTTGAGCTCATAAAAAAACACTAAGTAATACATAGATACATATCTAATTTGGGTAATTTTCTTTCCACACAATTTATTCTTTTTTCGATTTTTAATACAGTGCAAAGAAACTTATTGGAAAAACAACTGGATACTGAATAATTCAAACATTTAGTTCTTTATTTTACTTCAAGTGATATTAATTGTAAAGTTTTTAAATGCAGTATAAAATGCGCACATAAACAATTAACTATTTCTGCATGTTGTAATGTACAAAAAACTGATTGAGTAAAAGTTAATTCTACTAAAAGGTCATGGATTTGCATAATAATATTATAATATTCAATTCAACACAACAGAAAACAATTAAAATTGAAATGTTAACGAAGAGCGTGTCCTTCAAGATCCTTATTTCAAATAGAAATTATTTAGAATTTTGTCATACAAAAATTATTTTAACTTTACAAGCTACTTATTATCGATAAGATATTATCAACGTTTAGTTTATCTTACAATTAGTTTAAATTGTACGACATACAAAATACTTATGTAAGTATCTACTACGTATTCAGAAATGGTAAGATGGTCAAGCAAATCACACATGTACCTATTATTAAATTGAATAGGTTGTTCATTGTTCTAGAACATGATGATGGAAACGATCTTTTTTTAGCAACAAAAAGAGTCGTTATGACAAAGATTTCTTTCAAGAAAATCAAAGTAGATTCTTCTAGAAAAAACTTTAAATACGTTAAAACCAGTTCTTGCAATTTCCAACACTTTAAATGTTAGGTAGGAGAAATAAATTACTTCTAGTTTTTTTGCATGGCTGTTAATTATATCTACCAATTTACATAATCAGTATAATACATTAGACGTACCGACCTTGTTTTGTTAGGTTTTTAAAATTTTTTATTCATGAAATTTTTGACTCATCTATGTAAATTTTTGATAAAACACCAAAATGTAATGTAGTTGGTTTATCTACTATATTTACCGAAAATTTTGGATTTATCTCCTTATATCAATAATTTAATGCCTTTTTGTTTAATTTGCAATTAAACATGTTTGTTTTGTTAAATTTCATGAGGATTCTATTTTGTATGTTTATGTAAGTTATGATATCACTCCATAATTTTAAAGATTTGTGAGTGAATCAGCATATACATACATAGAAATAATGAGTCATTGTAATATTACTGATTACAATCGATACTGACGGTGAAAATGTAATTATGTATATCATTAGTAGCTGTACAAATCGACCTTGATCACAATGGAATGTTTTAATATCAGACCACAAGTAGGTGAATATGAGATGATAAAAGATGTCAACTAATTTACCAATTGTAAGGATAATTTGGAATTGAAACTGTAAAAACAAACTTCAGAAATTAAACAAATTAACAAAACAAACTATTTAATCCGACTTATCTGTTATTTAGATAAATTTTGTTTTCAACAACTCAGAATTCAGAAAATGAAAATGAAATAATTTAGATTATACGTGTAATTCTGATTAAAAATTCAATTTTCTATTAATTACATTTTACAAAATTACAATAGCATTTCTTCTCAGATTGTAGGTGCTGTGTATTATAAAACCAAATTTGATTACAAAATAACCTCTGCCCTATCAAGTAAACATCTTGGCGCAAACTGTTCTGTTTGATAAGTTTAGAAGGAATAATTGTAAATAAAAAAGGGGCGCAGTTCATCTTTTCCAAACTATTGAAGATGTCCCTACATAAAATATATAAATACAAATTCTGATGCATAAGTTGCTTCCCCCATTAATTTAAAAGCGTACATCTAACACACTTTACACCATATATTTTATAATAAACATTACTTTGCATATTATGCAACGAAAAAAACAATTTGAAGATTTGCACCCATCTAGTAGATAAAATTGATTGACATTTTGACTGACAATCCTATATTTATTTTTATATGTTAAACAAATATTGCAAAATTACTAAAACTCCACATCTATGTAATCATTAATAATAATGAATTATTTTGTGCAATTTCGTGACTAATTTTTTGTACTAATACATACCGATATTTTTAAACAACTTATTAGATTTAACTGTAAAACAAGTATGTACTTACAATTGAATCAGAATAAGTACCTATGTCTGACACAAACAAGAGCACAACAGAACTATTTCTAATAATGAAAAACTAAACTCTTTTGTATAATACTTTTGTAAAGATATAAACTAAAAAGGGAGGATGTAAGTGCAAGTACATCAGAAAATGGTAGGTTCTAGAAAATAAATGGTAGATATAAATTAATATTACGCAGTACTATACAGGCAATTGCAATATTTTAAAGAAAATATTGTTTTAAATCTTTCATGTTGACATGTCAAAATAAGAGCAAAATCACAACAGCATGCACAAGGTGCATGACCCTAATCATAATAGTTTTTTTTGCAAAGTAGGTTGATAGAAAGGGTTAATTGTGGTATTTTACTAAATTACTTACGGTTCTTGGATAAGCGGGGAAATTTTCAAAACGGTATCCAAAAAGGTTTTATCCGGACATGTAATGGCTGGAACTTGGGGTGTGCTATATACATTCAAAAATCTAAATAATATACACAAAATAACAGCTATCACAGCAAAAAGTGCCGTAGACATTATGGCGACTGGGCGCCCAATGCAACTTTCCAGAAGCAACACTTCGCAATCACTAATATTTCTGTTAATTTGACCAAATTTTAATTATCTTTCATATCATAACACATCACAGCCACTCTCAGCCGGCACCTTCTATATACTGTAAAAGCGTGTAAGGCGGTTTGCCTGACCCAGTCGTATTTGCAAAATCTAACACATGACATTTTTAAGATTAGAGAAAATAGATATGCAACCAACAATTCTCGGAAAATTAGCAATTGCGCCACTACTTATAAATATACCAAGTAATTTAAAAATTAAATTCCCAACAGCCTTTTAAAACAATAACTGGATTAGTTTTACATCTGGTATAACAATACATAATATTTATTTAAAGAAAACACTTAATTCTTAATGTTTTTTATACCATTAACGTATTTACTTAAATTATTATATTGCAATTTTACTAATATTTAAATAAATTTATACACACATATATTTTGAATAGTGGCTTAGAAAATATTCTGGAAATCTAGAATCTAGACTAATTAACTTTAATTCAGTATTTATTTTTCTTATTGTAAATTGTTTCGATTATTTGCTACATTAGTATTTACAGTATTTTTTTAACTTTAAAGGCATCATANTTTTTAGATGGTAAAATTTAAACGATGGGTTTCGGTGGTTATGGTAATAGGATTAACCCGTGCCACCCATCACATTGTACGTGTTACGATTTTGGCTGTTTTGGGACTGGCGGGACTTTACATGCTCCACACGTTAGCCCAAGATTTTCAAAAAATTTACCAGCAAATCCAAAATGGACAAGGGCCGGGACGAGCCATTCTTAACACGATCGCTAGCAACCCAATTTATCGTAATATAAGAAACAACATAGGTAAAACAATAGCAGACACTTTGGCGAGTGGAAGTCCATTCCGACAAGCCTCCCAGAGGAGAGACGACGTAAGGAAAACTCTTTGCGCAGACGGTCTCTCGACATATTGCGATTTGAATGATTTTAACAGGGATTTTGATAAAAGTATTGGAGAATATAGAGCTCCTATTGGTGCATTGTATGGAGGACATTTTGGAGGAGAGACCGAGGAGTTTAAGGATAACAACAAGGGACTCTCTTCTTATTCAACCAAAAGTGATTCTAAAGAATTTATAGCGAAAAACCAAAATTGGGGTTTCACTGTGGGAACATCTGGAGACCATTCAGCTGGATATGTTCTTACAAAAAGATCTGTACCCTCTGAAAGCAAAGAATATTCAGAAAGTTCAAACAGTGCCATAAGTGACTCGTCATCTACATTTAATGTAAGGAGATGATCAACATAATTTTATCTATCTTTGAATAATTTAAAGCAAAGGCTATTGTAGACCAAAAATTGCACTATTTTACGAATAAAATAATATTGTACTTATAAACAAAATATTTAGCTGCGGGAGGCTTTTGAAATTAATTTCCAGTTTATTAACAATGTATTTTCTTTCTTCCAAGTATCCCGAAATAAACTGGGAAAAAGTATTAAGCAGGGATCCAGCAAGTTGTGCGAGGAGTTTAATATGCCAGTTGGCCGCCACCTCAGAAAAAGAGTTGGAAATCGATGAAGAAAGTATTTTAAATATAGTGAGGTATGCAATTTTATAAAATGCCTCAAACTCCTATGAAAGATAAAAAAAATATTTTTTAAAGGTTGAAATGTTCAACATTCATTACAAATTACAATTATTATAATTTTAGAATTGCAACGAAAAAGGAGGATTGGGCAAGTAAACAGCTAAGGGAAGCTCTTAAATATGGAGAAACCACAAAAAGTATCACTCTTTGCGAAAGGTATTACATACTTTGTCCATATTCTGGAAAAACCATGATGAAAATTTTAAGATTTTTTGGAGGTTCATCCTAAATCATCCAGGCTTTCACTGCATTGTTTTATATTTTTTTTGTTAACTAATTCTAAGCGAAATAGATTTTATCAAATGTTAAAAAATTATTTGATTTAACTGGGGATCTTTTCTCACTCTTCATAAAGGTATTATTCCCAAAAATTAAATTAAACAGTATTACCTTTCAAAATTTCTATTTTTCCTGGAATAAAAAATACACTTATTTCAATAAATTAAATAAATAAATTCATTTAAACCCAAATATATAAAACACTTGACGGCGATTATTACATCACTATTCATATTTAATTCAATACTGAGCTTATATGGAGTAAAATTTTGTAGCAGGATTGAAAGCAAGCAACACTCAATTCTTTGATTTTTTTCCTTTTCCATCGGGCTTTGCAGGGGGCGCTCCTAAAGCGGCTGCTAATCTGGCTTTTAACTGAAGAAGAATGTTTACTTGCGGTTGCCATTCACTTTTTGGAGAACCACTTGATTTTAATTGCCTTACGTGGTCACCCTAATTCATTTAAAAGTTCTATTAAAAACGCAGAATCCGAAAAACCATGATGATCTCTCCCCAATACTGCAGATCCTATATTTTTCCAGTTCAGTTTCAATTCCAGTAAAAATAAGTTATACAAAAAAATATGTGATCTACAGCATCAGTGGGGTTCACCCATATTTACTCGACTATAATCTTTTTTTTAAACGTTAAAATAGTGTACTGTTTGAAGATTTACCTGTTTTTGAACTCGTTCTTCTAATTTTTTTATTTCTTCTGGACTGGCACATGGTAGCACACCATTCTCATTAAGTATTTTTACAGAACTTTGCTTAATGTTTGTTCCTTTTTGGGCAATTTCCAGTTTCTTTTTCAAGTCGAGTAAAATGTTAACCTCAGGTTGCCATACAGCTTTCTCAACCCCACTAGCTTTCAAATTTCGGACTTTATCACCCTATGTCGAAAAAGAAAAATTAAAATCAGATATTTGATCATATGGTTATAACAATATCAATAAGTTTTACTACTTTGACACAATTTTCACGTAAAAATTATAAGTCAGTAAATTACCGATTATGAATTTGTCTTTCAAAAAATATAAACAATAAAATATATTGACCCTTACTACACGTTTACTCCAAATATACAATTTGCCGCTATTCTTTCTGAAAAGTCATATCTAACATTACACGGTAAAATGAATTTTATTGTTCGATGTTTTTACAGACATATTATTTATTGCACAGTTTTATTATTACTACATATTTAATGAAGAAATTGTCGCATTATGAAAATACTCAGACTTATAGCTAATATGAGTATCAAATCTGCTTTAATCTCCAGGTTTTCGTCTCCGGAACTTTTCGACTAACTGTACGACCTTGTGTATGAAGGAGTAGACTTTCAAAAATCGCAAAACTCTAGATACTCCGTTCCTATCGTTCCTTCTTGTTCTGATATAAAACAAGGTAATAGCCACGATATTATTAATTTGTTTTTTTGCAACAGGATTCGGTATTACTATCGTTCCATTTCTAATTCCGTAACTAACTTCTTCAAGTTTTTTCATCGCATCTTTCACACAAAGCAAAAATAACTCCAAAATAAAATCTATCTGCACGGTATTCATTTTTTGAAAGGATTTATGGCAGACAGTCACGTTGCAAAAACGATTTTATTTTAGGTTAAAAACAAAAAATAACAATTGCCAAAAACTTTTACATTTGTTTGTTGTTTTTACATTAATTTTGGCGGCAACCTTTGAATTAATAAAACCACTCGAGTGCGAAAGTTCATATACGTAAATTGTCAGCTACATATAACGATTTCGAAAACTTTTTATAGTATTCGGATATTCAAGAAATAGAGATAAAAAAATTAAATTACCTGTTTCTTGATTGCTTCTTCAAGTTCTGTAACACTTAAGTTGTCTTCTTTTTTACTAGCTCCATTACTATCGGCTTGTTTTCCTGAAAATTGTGTTTTTAACTCCTCAACACGAGATAGTTCGATTTTGGCAAAAAGAGGTACTGGCTTTCCTAATTTATGACCCGAGGGAAGAAGCTGTACTATTTCAGGATGACTGTAAAATAAAAATATACCTTAGCATATACATATTAATTAATCATTACAAGAGTAATAATTTACAGAGATGTTAAGGCAAAGGTCTCGTTGGGGGCGTTCAATTGATTCCTTATTGTCCTGCCTGTCTCTGGCATGTAAGGGAACAGCAATGTTGCAAGTAAACAAACTAAATTACAACAAACTCCCACAACAGTTCCAGCCCTTTCCCTAAAAAGAGAATAAATAAGAAACACATTGAAGAGGGAAATGCAACATATTTTTGAAATAACGCACAAAATATTCATTAATCAAAATATTCAATCTTTGAAGAACTCACTTGTCTTCAGAAGTTCCTTTAACTAGTACCCAGGGTTGCATGGATTGCATGTACTGATTTCCATATCGAGATATAGATAAAATGTGCCTAATTCCATCCCTAAGCTTTCCATTTTCTAAAGAGACCACATAAGCTTGCAATTCTTTTGTACACTGAGCCAATAAGATAAAATCATCTTCTAAAAGATTCATGTTGGGAATGTGACTGTCGAAAAACTTCTCTGCAAATACCAATGCCCTAAAAAACACGTTTTAAATCCGGATTTATTTAACTGAAATTAATTTTTAGGGAAATCAATCAATACCTGTTAATGAAATTTCCCAAATTGTTAAGCAATTCGGAGTTGTTTTTAGTAACGAGATCGGCCCACGAAAAGCTGGAATCTTGAGATTCTGGTCTTACATATAGCAAATAAAATCTCCACACGTCACTAGGAATTCCTGTATTTTGGGCATCGTTTCCAAACACACCAATGCCTCTCGACTTTGAAAATTTTCCATCTTCATAATTTAAATATTCTAAAATCATACAAAACTTAATGCTATACTATTTACATGATCTAAAACACATTTTAAAGTAATTTTTTTTTAATTAATATTAATCTGATGCAGGTAAGTGCCTATACACTATTAGTGAAGTTTATGTTTCATATACATATATTGAATTTTCTCTTACCTGTAGCCATTATATGTGACACAGTAATAAAACCATCATTCACACCTTTAAGGATTGCAGGGAAAATAACCGCGTGGAATGGTACGTTATCTTTTGCCATAAATTGGTACAGTTTGACTTCAGTACCTTTTTCAGGTTTCCACCATTTGGCCCACTCTTTCGTATATCGTTGAGTTATGGATATATACCCCAAAACAGCATCAAACCATACATAAAATACCTGTAAACATTTCAACGAAATATCACTTTAAACATTTACAAGAATACACAAAAAATTCTTTTTAATAAATACTTCCTAAATGCTAATTATATTGAGCATTAGTTTTTCTTATAAACAATACCTTGTCTCTAAAACCTTCTAGTGGTACAGGAACACCCCACTTCAGGTCTCTGGTAATACACCGGGGCTTAAGTCCTTCTTTCAACCAAGAATTACCAATAATTCGAGCATTGCTTGACCAACCAGTTGAAGATTGCTTCATCCAGCAGAGTAAAAGTGGCTCTAACTTTAAAATAATAAAATAACATAAAAGTCGTTTTAGTTTAAGATGAAGTTTGTAAAATAACGTACTTTCGGTAGATCGAAAAAGAACTGATTCGAACTCCTTATAACCGGTGTTGTCCCGCAAACTTTGCACCGGGGATTTCTTAATTCAGTAGCATTGACTAGTTTTCCACAACCATCACATTGATCTCCCCTTGCGTCTTCATATAAACAACCAAGATGAGGGCAGCCCCCTTCTACAAAACGGTCTGCTAAATATCTGTTACATTTCTGACATAATAACTGATCTACAGTTTCCGTAAACATAAAACCATTCTTATTCAAAATTTGAAACATTTCTTGCACTAATCTAAAAAAGAAGATTGTTTCAAAATTATTAGGCAATTATACTTCACATATTAAAAACTAGTTGTCAGTACAAGTTTGATAAATACTTACATAGTCTGCTGAGGTGTAGTTGTCCTGCCAAAATAATCAAACCCAATGTTAAACCATCTATAAATTGAATTATGTACTTCAAAATATTTGTCACAAATTTGTTGGGGCGTTAAACCTTCTTCTAAAGCTTTGGTTTCAGTAGCAGTTCCATATTCATCAGTCCCACATATAAACAGTGTGTTATAATTACATAATCGGCAATACCTATTTTTAAAATATAAAACTTTCCATTATTCATTTTGAGGATGTAAAATGAATTATGATTTACCTAGCAAAGACATCAGCAGACAACACACACCCAATAATATTACCCAAATGAGGAACATTGTTTACATAAGGTAAAGCAGAAGTTATAAGAACATTTTTTTCACCTGGTTTAGGTAATCTGCAAAAAATGAGTTTACAAAATGAAATCAACCTGTTATTGCAATAACTTACACTGGTATTATATCACTCTTTGGTTTAGATAAATTAGCAGAGCCCTTCAGCCATGATTCCTTTGCTTTACTAATATCATCCACACTGACACTTTCTATACTTGTTTGTGTTTGAATTGATGGTCTTGATGGGCATGGTGGACATATTGCTAAATTAACAGGAGACAAATACTTAGAACTATTAAGTAGAACTTGATAAGATGGTTGTCCTGGTTTTACTTCATAACCATTTACAGCTTTCTAAAGAAATAACATAACATTCCAATAGTAATATATTTAAAACAAAAAAAACCAATTGCTCACCTGAAATTCTTCCATTTGTTCTAATTTTTTAATCCAAGTATTTAAATCATCTAATTCAGGTAGATATTCTTTGCTAAGATCAGTATCTTTGTAAAATGGATATAAAGTGGACCAAATTACAACATCAGATACAATAATTTGTTTCTAGAAACAAAAATTTATAAACTACGTATCATAACTTTATTTTTAAATAATTCTTACTTGTGATGTTGAAAAATCTCTAATTGCATCATTTAGGTAATGAAGGTGTCTTTTTAATCCTTCTTTTCTGTCTTCTATTTTCACAGGAAAGCCAAATAGAAGAGCAATATTTGGCGACAGTACTGAAGATTCCCATTCCAGCCATTCATTAACAAACACTTCTTCATTATCTTTTGATGGAAACAAAAATTTTGCAGCAGCATTAGGGATAAATAAATTACAAGAATCTTCTAATTCTAAATAGGGCAAATGTCTCGGTTGTTGCAATTCACGTTCTAAAAAACGCAATAAACAAATTAACTATAAATACTAATAGAATCAGATATAAACTTTATCATCTACCTTGTGAAGAAACTATCTTTAGATTTACTTCAGCTTTAGAAAAATTAGCTGCAACAAGTATTTTTAATGTCGATGGATTCGTTTCATTTGTGTAAACTGTAAGAACCATTTTAAAAAAAGGTATTATTTAATAATCAATTACTACACTTTAAAAGGCAAAACACTTTACGTATGGGTAAAATGCACTAAATAGAAACCACTGCACGTGTTTTTTGTGGTTAGGTAACAAAATATCAATTAATCTTAATTTGTCAAATGTCATTCTGTCAGTGCAAGAACAAAAATACCTGGTCCATGCAAAATATCATAGACAGACATATTAAGATTAGATAGAAGAGTACAATCGGTTATTTCTCTCTCACTCTTATTTAAAATATTGGTCACTCGGTTACTGGGTCATAAGTCAATGCGTCTACATATGTACATTAAAAATATAAAAAGCTTATTTTTAAAATTCTTTGATTTGTACAAATTATTAGTTGTAATTAAATAAAACCCCAATTATGCATTTCACTTATACTTTATTTGTAATTGTTTAAAAGAAGTACAAATATAGAAACTATAATAATAAACATTAATTTCTTAGTAAACGATTCCAAGGTATTCATTAATTCCTTTCGACTGTTCAAGAAAACAAAATAAAATTACAATGTTTATATTTTCCTTGAAAAAGATCTACAAAATCAAAATAAGCTAATAGTTTTTGAATTAATTATTTTTTTCAAAAAGCCTAGATATAGTATAATCTTTTAAGTAAGTTTTTGCATTATTGAAGAGTTAAGTAGTCCAGCCGAAGCCAGCGTTTCTTCGTCCTTTAATTCACGTGAAGGATAAGTTGAAAGTAGTATAAAAGATCTAGTCTGATACTGAGGTCTTGCAGTAGTTATATAAGTTCGAATATCGGCTACCGTGTGATCGTGGTTAAATTGGGCTACTAATCTCGTTCCATCAGCTAAACGAATTTGTAAACTAAAAAAAAAAAAAGAATTAGCAAATACAAATCAATTGAGACATAAAAATAAATTACTTTGTTGTAGGTTTGGAGGGATCTACAGAAACTAATATTTTTGCATTAGCTTCATTCACTTTACAATCTTTTTCATCAATGGCAGGTGCACCCACGGCAGCTGGTGCAGGACTTCCTAAAGTATAACCATGACCAGAAAAGGGTTTACGTTTTGAACCTGACAAGTCTTTCTTGTAAGCTTCCATTCGATGATCCTCCATTGCTAAATGTACCTAATAAAAGAATATATTAATCTTAATGCTTTATTACTTAGTTATTTTAATTTTACTTCTGAAGATTCAAGTCTTAATTCATGGGGTATTTCACCCCTTCGAATACTATCTAAAAAATCCCTATTTGATGGGTCTGCATAGTGCCTTAATTCTCCATCATCTACACTAAAACCATCTGCCCATAGTTTCAGTGTGACTTGTTCTGGTGGTTTTGATACTTGTGCTCCTGGGACAGCTTCTGTGTCTGTTTCAGTTTGTCCTAATTTATAACCAGTTCCTTTAAATGCATGTGCATTAGAACTACTGCCAGCTGAAGGTTCTGATAATTCCACCCCATGTCTTTAAATATTATAAACTAAATTACAAACATTTATGACATGAAATTTTGACTTCAACATACTCTCTAACTGCTTTAAACATGTCAGAAACAATGTCCTTTTTCTTGGCAGGTCCTAATACCTGTTGCCCACTGTGTTCAGAACCTCCAGCATAAAATGCTTGTCCTTCTTCCTCTTCTTCACTGGAACTATTTATGGTGTGAATTGTAGCAAATTTAGGATTTCGAGTCTTAGATTTTGCAGATGATTTCATAAATTGGGGACTGGAACTTGTCTCTGTTGAAGGAAGATTCACTGCTTCACTTCTTTGGGGCTCATTAACAACTACTTCTGGCTCGTCATTTTCATAAAAACTAGCTATAGCAATCTATAAAAACAAACTTTAAAAGAAATTAAGAATTTTAACAGTCATTCTAACCTCTAAATCCCATCTTGAGGACTCTAAATAGAATCGAGCTCGTTCTTCTTCCACTCCAGTAACTGACTTAAATTGTTGTACTTTTTCTTCCTTATCCGACATAATGTTAATAACCAAATACTATGTTTATATTTATGAAAATATGATCAATAATGGCTTATCATTTACAACAAACTAAATTCTGTATGGTTTTGTTTTATTTAGCATAAACTTTATCCAGGTTTATCTATGGTCATGTCTATGACGTTTTATAGATTTTATGGTTAATGAAATTTATGACTTTTTATGGACTTTAAATAGAGTATCGAGTTCACAGTTGTCAAGTCAAATTGTTAATTACAAAACATCTATAAAACTACAAAATTAGGATATAAAATNCTGATGTGAGCAATGTCACAGGTCACGCACATACACACACGCACATTATTTACACAAGAGACACACGTACGAGATAGCGGGGTGCATTCTTATTCTTCATTCTATTAAATACAACGAGAAACACTGATTATGGAATGATTCTTCTTCTTGTATTTTTTTTTTGTGTAACGATGACGACTACAATTGCTTATCTTGGGTGTTGTTGCGAAGGGGGGCCGTTTCATTTGGGGGGATAAGGGTTTATCACTGTCACAGCAGCCGCCTGCTGACTTGCTAGAACTGCAGCTGAAAAGAACAACCAAAGTGATTTACAACGATTTATTTTTTTAAATCGCAAGTGCTCTTCGCGATTCTCACCGTTTCCAAAATAATTTATGTATCTAAAAGGTAAACTCAAAACTAACAAAAGAATTCAGTTATTGTAAAGGACATACACTTGCGACTAGAAATGTTTTTCGTCTTTTCTGCAACTAAGTTGCAATAACTATTATTCATAACTGGAAAAAATAAATGAAATTCAAATTGTCATCATCATAAGGTCATCAGTCCTAAGACTGGTTGGACACGTACCTCCACTCTTTCCTATCCTGAGCTAAAATTTAATAACTAAATGCATCTAGGTTTACAAATTGTAGTTACATTTGGCAAACATGTATTCTAAATAATAGCAGCAGTTGAGCAATGTCCATACTCCATGCTCTAGACTATCTATGCTCTAGACAAATTAAATAATTTGTTATTGTTTTCAAGTTATTTTCTGGAGTGTAGTAAAATAATGTATGGGATTAAGTTTTCTCGTTTATCAGGCCTAATTAAGAGATTATAATAATTTTTATTTGAATCTTACTTTATACCAAGTTGAACCGCGCTTTAAGTGGCAAGATTTCGAACTTTTTCAAGGTGAAAAAGTATGGCTGCAACGCAGTGGCAGATATGTGTTGGTATTCAAAGATCGACGAGATTTGAAAATGAGTTCAGTTTCACTCACCTCTTGCGTTGTGTGTGGTCTTACCGAAAATCTGCTGAGGTGTTCTAGGTGTAAGTCAATTTATTATTGTTCAAAGGTACACCAGAAGCAGGACTGGAAAAGGCATAAAGTTATATGTCAGAAAACTGACGGTGCCCAATTAAATGGTGAAAATAAGTTTGTAAACATTGTAGCTGATCAAAACAGAAACAATGCTATAACGTACGAGGGTAGTTCTGAGACAGAAATTTTAAGTACTCAGGCTGAAAGTTTATCGCCTATCCTGGAGCTGGACTTTAGGAAGGACAGGTCTTCTACGGAAAAGACCTTAAAATCGGTAACAACCGCTATGCCAATTAGTGGTGAAAATATCGTCCATCCTCGCAAATCTAATGTGAGGGATTTTCCCGAAATATTGCTAAACAACTCGCCACCCTTTTTACATATTAATCAGGATGACGTTATAGACGAAATATGCAGAAATGTTATAAGAGACATGGATGATTATGGTGTTTGTGTGGTGGACAATTTTCTTGGTGAAGAGCGTGGTAGAGCTGTTCTTGGTGAAGTTATAGCAATGCACACAAAGGGAGTGTTTAGGGACGGTCAGTTAGTGTCAAGTAGAGGAAGAAAAGGTGATTTAAAAACCATCCGAGGAGATCAAATAACATGGATTGATGGACGTGAAAAATACTGTAAAAATATTGGACATCTTATTAGTCAGGTTGATGCTGTTATTATGAGGGCAAATAAGATGAGGAATAATGGAAAGTTAGGACAATTTACAATAAATGGCAGGACAAAGGTAAGTTCTGTTTAATAGCTTTTCTTTCCTAAATTTTATAAAACTGTATGTAATATTATTTAATTTTTTGTAATCATAATCTATTTTAAGTCATTTTATAACAACGCTTGCTGTAAACAGCAGTTGCAGTAAAGTATTAATGTAGATTAAAGTTTTTAAAGCACCTTGCTATTAATTATTGTTATCCCACTCAAGGAAGAAATACTTTAGCATAATTAAAAGTTGTTTTCTAATGCTAAAATACAAGTACTTTCAATGGAAATGTTTATTTGTACGAGGTATGCAACCTATGTATAATAAGCACAAATTGCTGTTTTATTTGTATTGTACAAACAGTGTCAATTACCGCAAAAATGTACTTGTGTTCTGTTTAAGTTCTTTATTATTTGTGCTCTTAATAATGGATTAATAATTTTACTACGACAAACAGGTAAAATCAATATAAATTCTCATTTTAAGACAATTTTCTTTATTTATTTGCCTATTTGTATGTTTTTAAATTGATGTGCGTGTTTTATTATTAATATGGTTCTGTAAATATTTATTATTATAAAAGAACTCAAAATTCTTTGTAGGTAGCTGATGTACATTGCAAAATTGTGGAAAATTGATTTATTAATACAATACAGATTTTAAAGTTTTATTTGTAAACATTTCGCTTATCGTCTATTGGCAAACGTATTTTGCCAATTTCTTTTCAGAGCCATCTGCCCGGGGCATGCAAACCGTCACGTAGGCAAGTCGAGGTATTTTACCCATGCGCATACTTACAGTGGTACACAATTGTATTTGAATGCCTCTTTCTTAACTTACGACGATTTGGTGGCGTGAAGCCCTAAATTAATGCAATTAATTTAATTAAATGTGTATTGTACGTGCTTTTGAAAAAGTTTTCAGGGCTGATTTAAAACATACACACACACACACACATACATGCTGCAATGCGGAAGCCTTGCTTTCACACTGCCAAGTTTTTCCTATTAACAAATTGTTATTATTATAGTTGAGGTTGTTGAACAAAATTCACCGGAATGTTAAAAACATAATCGCAAAAGAAAGAAAAGATTGTTATTAGAATATAAAGAATTAGTAGTATTAGTAAATCTTCTATTGTTTGTAAAATTGAAAACAAAAAATACTTAGGTACGTTAGATAATATCTGCGTTTTAATGTTATATCAATTTACATTAAAAAAAATAAATATTTAAATTATTATCAAACATTGTGCAGTTATGAGTGACCTTATGATTAAACAGATAACTGTGCTCAATATAGAACAGCATAAATCACTCGGTAAGGGCTAATGAACTTAAATATCGCCTTGTTTTAAAAAAAGGTACTTATTCGCAGTTTATTAAATAATTCAAATTGCTCATGAAACTAACACAAGTCGCATTTCTCCTATATGAATTAAAACGTACGACCTTGCGTACGTATATTTTATCTCGCGTGCAAATAATGATACTAAAGAGTAAATTTTGCGTAAATTGTAAATGCATTTAAGTGTGTAGGCATTTTATGATGCAACTACCAATATTATTTCAAATTGTATTGATAAATGCACCTATTTAGTATGTATAATAAATTTTAGTATATCCAACAACAGATTTTTTTAATAACTATTAATTCAAATATTTTGCACTAAAGAACCACTAATCACCAACTTTTAGTTGAGCTAGGATTTGCAATAGTTTTAAGGCAGAGTGTATGGTACAAATTCGTTAAAACATAAAATTTAAAGCCTCAAGCATATTTATAAAAATTTTTTTTTATACCATGTCGAACTTTTTGAAAGATGATGCGGCCCTTTGATGATTGCATGTAGTAGGATATCTTTGTTAAAGATACACTAAATGTAACAAGGCAATGGAAATCAGATAAGAATTGCAGATTATTTTTATTTGTGTATATGTGTTTAGGAGCGTACGTGCGACGCTGATAAAAATATTGTTATATTTACATTTTCACCTTTATGACCTCTAAAATTTCGCGACTACGTGTTAACCAGTGACGATTTGTCACGTTGCCTTGACATTTCCACGAATCACGAATGCGATTTTTATGCATGGAGCAATAAAAGAAAAAAGAAATGCCGCAAAAAAAGTCCACGATCAATGTGAAAAGTGCAACTGCAATCGATAGTGGTTTAGGATATTTGCATTTAAATGCGAATGTTTTGAATGAAACGACAAAATCGAGCTACCGAGGACCATACTCGGTTTTGTAAAGGTCACAGCTAAACCTTCGCTTATAGAAACAAAAATCCATCCGCCTTAAAAGTCAATATTTTGCCGTTACTATTATTGCGTAAATCCCCGATGTATTTGGTACTTTCCTAGTAATATCAGTTCGAGATTCACTTTACAATTAGATTAGGTATACATTTCATTGTTATAGGGGTTGAGATAGAAAGGGCTCCGTTTTGTATGATGATACCCCACTCTAATCTATTATTTCACAAAACGGTCACTCATATTTCAATAAAAATAAAAAGTACTTTTAAAAATTCTACAGCTGGGTCAACGAATCCATTTTATCTTCTTTTGATACGAAAAAAAAACGCTGTTTATATCGCAAATTGTATAATATTTATGTAAACAATATTTAATATATTGTTATAAGTTCGTGAATGCTGAATACTTTTTCAGTAGATTTCCTTGAAAATGATTATTTTGATTAGTTAATCTACTCACTACAAATTTTTAAATTATTGTACGATTCCTTAACATGCATCTCTATCAGTCAATGTTATGATTGACTCACAAATCTATTTAACACGAGCTACATTTCATAATGAAATATATAAATAATGAAACACATTTCATAAGTACAAGTAAAATCTGTTTTATTCACACGGTTGTAACTAGATTTGTGCGTTATTATTTATAATTATTCCCTTCATTAATTCCTGTGAAAATTTTTGCATAAATTTAGAGTTAACTATGCGCAGATGTGGCTACAAAATATAAAGATTATATTGACCTCTAACCGTAATAGATGATTTAAATGTGGACAACTCAACATGGCTTTTTGCACGTATCATTTTTATGTTTAGTAAAAAATTTTGTAATACTTTTTGCCGTGGGCAACAGGAAGCATTTTTATTTGAAATTGCAAATAATTATTGCCCAATTTAGTAGTTGATTATACAGCGTGTTTCTATGTTATTAACTATTTTGTAGGACAAAAATATGTAGTATAAAAGTATAAGTAGTTACATAAAAGTTCAAGTGAAGTTTTTAATTATTTTTAAATGGCGCACTAATTACCCTTATTACATGACTGATGAGAAAAAACTGTTCGATAATTCGTTGAATTGTTTTTTTTTTAATCTGATACCCAACGTCAATCAAAAATCATGATAGGAATTCGAAAAATTTTTAATGNATTTTTTTTAAATGCAATTGGTCATTAATTTAGAAAAAAAAGGTAAAAATACAATTACGTACGCGTTTCAATGCAATTTAATTATTTTTAGTAGATTGTAGGTTGTAATTATTATTAAACCACATTTTTTTCGTCTGAGACTGCTGTTATTATTATTATTATTTTAAAAATTACAAAGTTGTTTCAATTGAATTGTTCTTTAATTCGATATGTGACATGAACGTATCGGCAATGAAATGTATATTTCTACTAGGAAAGTAATGTACATGACAAATACGTGTAAGAAATTTATTAACAAAATTTCACTTTTCACTAAACAAAAAAAATTTACACAATGATACTAACAGTTTACTCTTTTGAGATGAATTAATCACGTAATATATTTTTAATGTGTATAATATTTTGTATTATAATAATCCTCGAAATCGACGAAAAATCGTACTATTTTTTTAATAATAAATATGCAATTGTTATTGGTAAATTTTAAAATGTACTTACGATTAGTTATTTAATATACAGTTAATTGGGCTTTTCCTTTACAGGCAATGGTGGCCTGCTATCCTGGATCTGGATCCCATTATGTTAAGCATGTGGACAATCCAAACAGAGATGGACGCTGCATAACATCAATTTATTATTTAAACATTAATTGGGACGTAAAACGAAATGGGGGATTGTTACGGATATTTCCCGAAGGTTGGCGGGAAGACAAAGTAAGATAAATTACTTTTTCGTTTTATCCTAAAAGGGTAGGTTACAATTTAAAAAAACAAAAGTTAAATTACCTAATTTATAAAATTTCATTTAATCTGATTTAATTTGTTTTCTTAAAATCAAAATAATATATGTACGTATATACTATGTATTTTTAATTATCATTGCGTTAAGTTTTATAAATCGTAGGCTTTTTTATTTTGTATGTAATTGTTCGGTAATAAATTACACACAATTATTTGTTATCAAAGATAAAGTGTACGTGTACATTCTAATGTTTATGAATGTCTCGAAAAAGGTATTTTTTTCTGATAATTCAAATCAACAAAAGCGACTGAATGGAATGTTATTTTAAAAAGAGTTAAGCACGTAGTGATAAATATGATAATATATAATCAACCTTAAGTAGTTTTCATGAAAAAAAAAGTTTTTATTATTAAACGTTTCTTTTTTTGCAAAAAGAAAAGGTGTTATTAAGAATCTACCACATATGCTATTATTATTATATAAACTATAAATGTGGAGTATTCCTAAAATTAAAACTTTTTACGTTTACATAAAATAGTAGCGAATTGAAAATTGAAATCTAATGATACAAAAGCGGACGTAAAAAGTATAAAATTACCAATATTATGATAACCTTTAGCATTGTAATTGATTAAACTATTATTGACGCGATTAAAATTGAAATAATGTAAAAATATTTTTGTTTTAATTGAATTTCATTTAGTTTTCGAAAATAGCAGTGTTTACAGCATATTCATGGGTTATATTGAAAAATTGAGGAGAATCAAAAAGCACCTTCTATTTATTTTTTTTGTTTAACCAAAAAAAAAA